TTTCGGACAACATCCTCCAGCCCTCTGCTTTCTCCCTTTCCTTTTCTCGCGGCTGCTGGCATATGGAGCTGCTATGGGACCTCATCAACTCGTCCTGGAATTTGCTGATTTAACTCCCGTCTTTCGGACAACATCCTCCAGCCCTCTGCTTTCTCTCTTTCCTTTTCTCGCTGCTGCTGGCATTTGGAGTTGCTATGGGACCTCATCAACTAGTCCTGGAATTTGCTGATTTAACTCCCGTCTTCCAATCTTCGTCTTCCACTCTAGTTTCCAGGAGGCCTTTCCTCTTCATCCTGCTACCCCCTGTGGGCTGTTTCTTCCTGCTGCCACATCTTCCCGTTTCCCACCGTCCTCTTGGGGTCCCGGAAAGGTCCTGGTTGCAGCCTTTCCCTCGTCTTAAAGCGTTCTTCCTTACAACAGAAGGTGGCCAGGGCGCTCATTGCCACGACCAGCAAGGCGCATTGCGTGGGAGTTCCCTCCTCGCTGCCTGGCCTTCCTTTCTTCCGCGTGGCCTCTTTGTTGGTCTGTTGAACAGCTCGCCGCTGAAGTGGGTCCTCCCTCACCACTTGGCTGATCGGTAGCAGTTACAAGTCCTCGTTCAAAGCTGGTGCAAGTCAGTGGCAGGGAGCTTGCTGGCGGTGTGCCCGCGTGGGGCAGTTTCCTAGGGAAACCCCAGCTCTTTTTTTAAAAAAGTATATTTTTTATTGATTTCAGAAAGGAAGGGAGAGGGATCGAAACTTCAGTGATGAGAGAGAATCTTTGATCAGCTGCCTCCTGCACGCCCCCCACTGGGGATGGAGCCTGCAACCCGGGCCTGTGCCCTGACCGGGAATCTAACCCTGGTTCCTAGGTCCACTCTCAACCACTGAGCCACGCCGGCCGGGCGAAGTCCCAGATCTTAGTGTCTTTAGTTCCTATCTCCTGAGCGGATTACATGTCCCAGGAAGACCCCTCGTTTCTTTCTGGGCTTTTAGCAGAGCCTCGCCCGGAGGCCTTCCGGAAGAGACCAGATTGACAGCCCTTTCTCCAGATGAAAAAACCATCTTCCGTTAGGATCATGGGAGGATCAGTACTAATCATTTTCAATTTCTTCTTTGGTTTGAAAGCCAGCCGTTCATGGTTAAAGAGAAGAATGTGTTTCTATTTCAATGGTGTTATGCAAATTCAGTAAAATATTTTAGTCTGAACTAAACCCCGCCCTGGCCGAGCAAGCCTTTGCGCTCCCGCCCTTCTCCGACCTCCCGACTGGAAGGTGAAGCAGTAATCAGACCCCAAGGGCCACACAGACCACGGAGGCGACGTGCCAAGGCCGTGTCTCTGCCTTGACAAGCACGATGCTCTCGGGCTGATTCCGACTCCCCTTCAAGAGACGCACCCGAGACCCGCCTCCCCTGGGGGGCTGGAGATCGGAAATGCGAGCCACTCACCCTCCCACGACCAGCACTGCTGAGTCCGAAGGCGAGGGGCGTCCTTCTAATCAACGTCCATGGAGAATGAGAGAGTAAAAGGCGGACAACAGAAACGTGCCGGACTCAGGCTTACATCTGTATTAGCCCAATTCAACAGTAATCAGTTTACTTAGAAGCAAATCAAAAAAATACTAAATTTAAAAAATAATCGTTCTAATATGTGTCAGGCAGCATACTAAATTTTTAAGAATATATTTGTATTAATTTGGGAGAGAGTGGGGAGGAGAGGGAGAGAGAGATAGAAACATTGATGAGAGAGGGAAACATTGATCGGCTGCCACCTGCACGCCCCGCCCCCTATTGGGGATCAAGCCCACAACCCAGGCATGTGTCCTGACAAGGAATCAAACCAGTGACCTCGGTTTATGGGTCGACCCTCAGTCACTGAGCCACACCAGCCGGGCAGCAAACCAGCGTTCAGTCAGGTTTATCATGTCTGTGACGTTCTGTACAGACGTGTGCACTTGGCGCTGCCCAAGGCAGACCCTTCTGCTGCTTTCCCTCGGGGTGTGGGGGGCCTCCGGCTGCAAGGCTTGCTGGGTCTCCCTTCCAGCAAGGGCTTTGCCGTCCCAAGTCCAGGACACCTCTCTCTCTCTCTCTCTCTCTTCAATATATTTGTATTGATTTCAGAGAGGAAGGGAGAGGGAGAATCATTGATCGGCTGCCTCCTGCACCCCCCACACTGGGGATTGAGCCTGCAACCTGGACATGTGCCCTGACTAAGACTTGAGCCCTGACCTCCTGGTTCATAGGTGGATGCTCAACCCCTGAGCCACGCCGGCTGGGCCAGGCCACCTCTCTTCACTCTCCCAGGGAACAAGGCTCCTGTCTCCTGCGGGAGGGGGAGGGGCACGCCCAGTGACGTGAGCGGCAGATGCAAGCGGAAAGTCTGCTTCTGAGCGTTTCACCAACCCTCCTGATCCCAGCCCAAGTCACCCCGACTTCCCTGCGCACGGCCCACACTCCCAGAGCCGCCCGGCTCTGCAGTGCTCGCCCTCTGTCTTTCAGGCCCACTCCGGACTCGGAGCCTCCAATCTATTTAGTCATTCACATCTCCACCATTTGCTCTCCCACTTCTAGTTCCAGACGCCAAGCTCGCTGCTCTCTCGTCTCCTTCTGTCTTTGGTCTAGAGGGCCTAACACTTCAAAATCCCTTCACTGCTGTGCTGATGGGATTTCGGAAGGGAGCAGAGCTGCCATCCTTAACAAGCCTTGGATATGCATTATTTAACTGAAACTACTGTGAGAGATGAGGCTCGCGTTCACACGGCAGTAAGTGGTGAGGGTGGGATTCAAAGCCAATCCAGGTGAATGAGACACCCCGTGGCCCCCGGGAGCTGACAGACGCGGGAGACAGGCAGGTAAGCAACAGGGTGGAGGAAACAGGGGTCTGTGAGGGTTCAGGGAGGACCCTCAAGGCAGCCAAGGGGTCATCGAAGGCCCCCCAAGAGGTCACATGTGAACTGAATGGTGAAGGAGGAGTCAGACTTCGGTCCTTATACTAGTACCTGGTGTGTGCCAAGGACCAAGGCATCAAATTTAGGTTTAATTATTGATCATCCATCCAAACTAACAGCTAGCAGCCCCCACCGTGTGCATGCCCAGTGATCCCCAGCACGCCACGGCCCCTTGGGCTCTCGGCTCTCCCAGGCCGCCAGCCAGGAGCCACCAGCTCTGGGCCCAGTCGTCACCTCTCTCTGCTTCCAAACATCGAACCTCCCGGACGCCTCTGATTCTCCGAAGCCTCCAGGGAACAGAAGCACCACAGCCAGGTTCCCATCACGTCGGTCGCTGCAAAGTCCCTCCCTCCTCCCCCAGCCAGGAGGTCACTCAGGGTCACATGGAAGATGCTTTGATGAAAGAGCGAGAGTGTGTGGGATTCGTGGTCGATGACAGCTGAGCCCAGGACGGATCACCCTGCGGGGAGCTCAGGACTGACTTGGAGCTCTGCCCACAGACAGGGGATCTGAAATTCCCTGCGACCTTGAGCAAGGCCTCAGCCCCCTCCCGGACCGAGCGCGGACTCTGCGGTTCCCTGGGAGTGCTGCCTTTGTGACTGACAGGCCGGCAGGAATCCATTAGCTCAGCATCTGCTCCAGGTGCTGAGGCCGTGCAGAGTGACGCGACGTTAGTGGAGGGGTTTTGAAACAGGGACTGACTTGTTCTCGGTCCCCTAACTGTTCGCTAAACGATTCACCATAATGACAGGCAACCTCTTCATATTCCCCAGGCAATACTCGAGTAACGTGGAAGCAAAACTGAAATTCCTGAAGCGCAGGCAGCGTGGAAACTCCAGGAGGCATTGCGTGTGCGGCCTGCCCGTCCGGGCTCCCGGCCTGCAGGCTGCCCTGGACAGCGGCCGCTGGGGAGCTCGGAAGCAGAGATGTCAACACGTGGCCCGAGCCGTGCGTGAGTGTCAGCGCCACCAGGAGTCCTAAACCTGGTGCTGCCCCCCCCCCCTCCCCCCGGTCCCTGGCGGCGGGGGAGGAAGCTGAGACAGTCCACGGAGTCACCATGATGGACCTCCCTGAGGCAGGGAGGTGCTGGAACCCCGGCTTCCTTGCACCAAGAGGAGAACCAATCCTGGCGAGGGAGCCACTCGGCCACTCACCCATCCCGCCCCTGCTGGCCACAGCGGTCAGCGGATTGGGACGGAGAGTGGCGCAGAGCCACTGGTTACTTCCTCGTGTGGCCACATTACATACAAATATGAAACTCCATTATCTTAGCAAAGCAACCAGGCCCGTGTCCAGGGCTCTGCTGATCACGATGGTCGTGTCAACAGTGCTTGTAGTCAATGCCTCTGCCCGTTGCCCACGGCTCTCACTCCTCCTCCGTCAGGCAGGCTCACCTCACCCGCATCATCACCGGATTCACCACTTTAAAGCCCGTGTCCATGGGAGCCGCCTGGCTTGCATCCTCCGGCGGCTGGGCACGTGCAGGGTCTCTGGTTTCCAGGGACTAACCCAGCTGCGTGGATAGGGCAGCGCCTGCCCTCAAGGTGCTAGCTGGCCAGTGCTTGTCTTTAACGACTGAGGAGGGCAGAGGAGAAGGAGGGATGCTGGCACCGACTGCCGCCCATTCGTTCGATCAGGGGCATTGTTTGCGGGACTCACGCAAGCCTCAGAGGTACAGGAAAGGCGGGCGGTTTAGTGCAGGGACAGAGCAGGACAACTAGGAGCCAAGGGAGAGTCCACATATGAGAATGGATGTGTATAAAGGAGAGGACAGTGGGGCTGGGAGGAGAGGGTAGAGGGGGAAGAAAAATTGAGATGGGATGATCTGCAGTAAAATAAACCAGGACTCACCCTGGAATCTGAGAATCGCCTGGGCAGGTGGGGACATGGCGGGGTCTGCGGGGCAGACGAGGAGCGGGCCATGCCTGGCACTCAGGCCGCCCTCCGTCCTCCGGGGCAGAAGGCGTCTCCCAATCGGCTGGCAGTGCCTGGGTGCCGCCCCAGCTTAGCTCTGTACTTCTGCCCACGCTGGGGGCGTTTAACAGACACTCAAAGACCGACCTGGCATTTAGGAACGGCGAGGAACAGCGCATTACACATTTGTCTCCTCCCCCCCGTCCCGGAGCGGGGAAAGCCTGAGGGGACGGTGAGATGCCAGGGCCCCTAACACAACGAGGAGCACTGTTTTCAGGTGCAGCTTGTCCTCCGTTCCCAGGAGGCAACGCCCAGCCCTGCCCCCCGCACCGAAGCCTGGCGCCAGCTTGGACAGCGCCTGCTCCAGCCCCGACCTGGTGGGACCTGAGGCCCGAAGGGGATGGGGGTTGCAGTGGGGTGAATGGTGACCCCTCCTTCAAAGGATTGTCCACTGGAACCTGTGAATGGGACCTTCCGGGGCCCACTGCTGCTCTGGGCACCTCCCGTTAAGACGGCCTCGGGCAGAGAGAAGCTACGGGGCAGCCAGGTCCCTTTCAGCATGTGGCCGTGAGGACCCCGCAGACAGAGTCCAGCCCTCAGCCTGGTGGGCAAGGCCCTCCTGACCTGAGGCTCCAGCCAGCACCCACAGCGCCCCTGGGACCCGGTTAAAAGGGCAAGTGCCGCCAGAGCCAGTTTGGCTCAGTGGATAGGGCATGGCCTGTGGTCTGATTCTGGCCAAGGGCACATACCTCGGTTGCAGGCTCCTCCCTGGCCCAGGCCCTGGTGCAGGAAGCAACCAATCAATGCGTTTCTCTCACGTCAATATTTCTCCCTGTCTTTCCCTCTCTCTTCCACTCTCTCTACAATCAATGGAAAAAATATCCTCCGGTGAGGATTTAAGAAGGAGGAGGGGGGAGTGCCCAGGAAGGCGTCGGCTTGCCTCCAGCGGGGTTGGCCCCGGGGTGATGCTCTGTCCGCCCCCACGAGTGGCCGTGCTGGGGGCTTCATTTCTCTGGGGGAGGCTGCATTCCCAGGACCGCGGGCACCAGGTGAAGGCTCGTATGAATTTTTTATTTTAACAGATGTTGGCAGGTTGCTTTCCTGAAGGGAGCACGAGAGGGCTTTTTTCACACATGCCCTCTGGCAACAATTACCACGCTTGTACGTTTTGCCAGGAGTCAGAGGAGAACGGGATGCATCGTCGAGACTTTAATTTGCATGTTCTTGACTGAGGTGCCTTTCCAGGGCGCCTCTGCCATCTGGGCTTGTCCTTGTGCGCGCTGCGTCTCCCGCGGCCCTTTCTCCACGGCGGCTGCTCTCGTCCAATATACACTGTGTATGTATTGCATATACGTGGGCGGTAGCCTGTGCCACAAGTATTTTTTCCAAATCTACCATTTGTGTGTTTGCTTTTTTCATGAATTTCATTTCATTTCATGCAATTCTTTGAATTTTCATTGCTGGCCTGTATGTTTAAAAGTTTTACACACCCAAATATGCCCACCTTTTCTCTTATAACATCCAGGTTTCTGGTCTTGGTTCAGAAAGATATTCCTCCCATGCCCTAGATCAAGCCTATAGTTAAGCTTGCAAATTTTTAATTTTATCTTTTTTTTAAAAAAGTCTATAATCCGTCTAAATTTTTATATGATCTAAAAACAGAGATTTGTTTTGTTTTCTTATACATGGACGCCCATTGTCCCAGCACCACTTGCTGAGTGACCCATTTCCCCATCACGCGGGACCACCATGGTGTTATATATTAAAGTCTCATATTAGCCCAGCAGGCGTGGCTCAGTGGTTGAGCGTTGACCTATGAACCAGGATTCCCAGTCAGGGCACATGCCCCGGTTTCGGCTCAATCCCAGTGTGGGACATGCAGGAGGCAGCCGATCAATGATTTTCTCTCATCATTGATGTTTCTCTCTCTCTCTCACTCTCCCTTCCTCTCTGAAATCAATAAAAATATACATTCAAACCTGTGCCTTTGGTCTATTTACCTATTCCTGACCCAATAGCAAGCGAATTTGGTTACAATGGCTTTGTAAGGTGTTCTGATACCAGGCAAGGTGAGCCATTCATTCTTCATCCACGACTTTGATGTGTCCGGCAGGTGGTCTCTCCTGGGGCTCACACCTGTTTGGTGTATGTGTGGGGACAATCATCGGGCATTTAGTTTTCCGCATATGTTTATGTATGAGATTATTCAATAGCAACCCCCAGAAATAGCACAGACTTTGAAATTCTTGTTGGAACGTTGCTCCATGCACACGTCTCTGTCAGGTGGACCCCCCTCTTTATGGTGATGTATCTGTTTCTCACGCACTGTGTTCTTTCGTTCGGATCATGTCTTCACATCCCTTGGTGAGATTTTCTGATGTTTTTCACAGGGATCCTGTCCTTCCTGACTCTACTGACTTCTTTTTATTTTTAATATATTTTATTCACTTTTTACAGAGAGAAAGGGAGAGGGATAGAGAGTTAGAAACATCAATGAGAGAGAAACATCGAACAGCTGCCTCCTGCACACCCCCCACTGGGGATGTGCCCGCAACCAAGGCACATGCCCTTGACCAGAATCGAACCTAGGACCCTTCAGTCCGCAGGCCGACGCTCTATCCACTGAGCCAAACTGGTCAGGGCAGTGACTCTACTTACTTCTAAATATTTTAGAGTTTTTATCACTCTTGTAAGTGAAATATTTCATCCTGTTTCCATTTTTAGATGCTTATTGGTGGAAGAGACGAAGCGTATTGATTCCTGTATTTTTAGCTTGTAACCATTCACCATCGCCATTCTCGATAAGCATCGGTTGCTGCCTTAAGCATCGCTCTTTGGACATAGCATACGGTTGGACTTTATTTGTCTGACCCGCCATGAAAGTCTCTGCCTTTGAGTGGCAAAACCCAGTGTGGGACGTGCAGGAGGCAGCTGATCACGTTCAGTGTGACTGCTTAGAGTAGTGATGGCGAACCTTTTGAGCTCGGCGTGTCAGCATTTTGAAAAACTCTAACTTAACTCTGGTGCCGTGTCACATATAGAAATTTTTTGATATTTGCAACCATAGTAAAACAAAGACTTATATTTTTGATATTTATTTTATATATTTAAATGCCATTTAACAAAGAAAAATCAACCAAAAAAAATGAGTTCCCGTGTCACCTCTGACACGCGTGTCATAGGTTTGCCATCACTGGCTTAGAGGCTGTCTCCTACTCCTTAGATTTAGTTCATGTTTGTCGTTTGTCTCGCCTCTTCATTTTCTGTTTCCTAACTTTAAGTCACATGATCAAGAAGCTGCCACTCATTTTATCTCCTCCCTTTGCTCACGTGGAAGCTCTCCATGCCATTCATGCGGCCTCCCTTCCCACGCTCCTCGCCAGATTAGCTACTTCCTCTCCCGTCAAAGAGGCCCTGTGTCCCCACCAGGATGCTCCATGTCGCCCACTCTTCCTCCTCACCCCGCACGGTGGGTCCTGGGGACATTTTCACTTTCCTTTCTCCTTGCCCTCCTCTGGCCCCCGAGAGAAGACTGAGGACGCGCTTACTTTTTCTTCCCACCCCGCACTCCCAGCTCCTAGGTTTCGCTGAGATGGTTTACTATACTCTCAGTTGTGAACTGTGTGGGATCATCTGTTCTTTCTATTCAAGAGTCCTTCCTGAACAAGCATATTACACCGCAGACAGCCTGTCCTTACTCTTCATATTTAATTATTACATACACATACGCACACATTTACTACACAACACTGCCCACCATTGCTCCCCCCCTTCTCCCCCATTTTGCCGGCTCTCTTTGCGTTTACTCATTATTTGATGAGCATCATTGCGATTCACCTTTCAGATGGACCGCGTGGGCCTGGATTTCTGGGAAAGGGTGTCTTTGGTGGAATCTAGGCTCTGGTGTTTCAGTCCTTTTCTTTCGGCCGTAGATGGTGCTCCACTGCCTTCGATCCTAGTTGATGCAAAGAAATCCAATGTCAGTCAAGCTCTTTCTCCTCTGTAGGCATTTCTGCCAGGAAGCTTGTAAGAGCTTCT